GAACTTTGTGAAGAATTCAAAATTGTCCACCACAATTCATCTCCCTACATGCCAAAGATGAATTGGGCCGTTGAAGCTGCTAATAAGAACATCAAGAAGATCATCCAGAAAATGGTTGTCACTTATAAAGATTGGCATGAGATGATCCCTTTTGCTTTGCATGGGTATCGAACATCTGCCAGCACTTCAACAGGGGCAACCCCTTTCTCTCTTGTGTATGGCATGGAAGAAGTGCTCCCCATTGAAGTTGATATTCCCTATTTACGCATGATAATGGAAACCAAGTTGTCAGAGGCTGAATGGGTCCAGAACAGGTTTGACCAGTTGAATTTGATTGAAGAGAAAAGAATGACGGCCTTGTGTCATGGTCAGTTATACCAGAAGAGAATGAATAAATCTTTTGATAAGAAGGTCAAACCTCGTGAATTCAGAGAAGACAACCCCGTGCTCAAGAAGATCATGTCTTTTAACGATGATTCTAGGGGCAAGTGGACTCCCAATTTTAAAGGCCCATATGTTGTCAAGAAAGACTTCTCTGGCGGTGCATTGCTTCTTGAAACTATTGATAGTGAGGAGTTCCCACGTCCTATGAATGTTGATGCAATCAAGAAATACTTCGCCTAAAGAAATAAAAGAATAACTCGCTAAGTCGAAAATTGGAAAGGGCGGCTTAGGCAAAAAAAGGAGCGTCTCGGGACGGTCTAGGCAAAAATTAGAGACACAAACAAAATAAATTTTCCCAGTAGGTTGAAAACCCGGAAGGGAAACCTAGGAAAAAGTTAGGGATTTCTTGGCAAGTAACTGCATTAGACAAGACTTGATCATTGAAGCAACAATCTTCTTGATTCCTCACCACTCTTCAACCGAAGTCGCTGCTCAGGAATTCAAAGTTGTTAGGGAGAATAGTGGTCATTGTATTTCAATGTATCCTTTTCAATATATATTACCATTTTCCAAACTTTGTAATCATCTATGGAGTCTCGTCATTCGCAGACTACCACTCTATTAATAAAGTTTGAGCTTTTATAAAATTATTTGCAATTCTTATTTTGTTCAGCTTACAAAGACTTCATTTATTATTGATAGTAATTTTCAAAGCAAAGAGATTAAATAAAAAAATTGTTTTTTGAAAAGAATTTACAAATTACTTCTTGCCTTAGATTTTGTGATTCAAGGAGAACAAAAATAGTGACTCCGAGGATGGGCGAACTCTAAAATTTTGGAAGTATGAATCCCTCAGGAAAGGCTCTCCCAGGTCACTTTTGCTGGAATGAGTGTGACTTCCTTGTGCTTCTCAAATAATTGAAGATGATGCCAATTGATGTATGGTGTGGTGTTGGGTTTGTGATCCCATTTTCCCCAACCAAGTCTTGGTTCATTTTAATTTCGGGTTTTCATGATATGAAGACTTTATCCCAGATTCCCCAATAAGGTCTTCGCTCACATGACGAAAGTATTTTCCTATTTGTGTGTTGAGTTGTAATTATTTGCAAAACATCTCCTTTTACAGTGCTAGCATTTTTGTTGTTGTTTGTTTTCCAGACAACCAGACAAGGGCAATATCTTTTCTAAGAAGTGTTGAAATAATTGTCAACCTTTTGGGTTTTCACCCACCAAGTGCTGGGTTTGATTTAAAATCCCCATAGGTTTGATTTCTTGCTGTAATGTTTGACTTCTTAACTCCCCAAGTTTCTATCCCCGTGCAGTTTCATACTTTCTCCCCAGAGAAGTTGGTGCAATACTCACTCTCAATATTGAAGAATGTATCTTGGTTTCCCCTCGACGATGTGGTGTTACCCTCCTCAATGAATTCAATTTGAGATCCTTAGCTAATGTCTTGACAACGTGGTTTTGTTTTCCCCATTGAAGTTAGCATTTCAATCCTCAGTAGAAGTGCAGACGTTGAAGCATTTGCTTTTCCCCATTGAAGTCTGTGTGATATTCCCCGGTGAAGCCTGGAGGAGGATGTTATACCCCTGTATTTGTACTGATTTATTGCTATGATTTTATTATTTTTGGATTATGTTCCTTCCCAGTGGAGTTAAGCCATGAAGTAGGAATTTGTTTCCTCAGTCGGTGTTTACTTTCTCATGAAATTTTCATCTTGGATGTGTTTTAGCCGAGTATTGACTGTATCAAAGTTGGTTTTGTCTGGTTATCCCCAGTGTTATATGTCTGTTTTTTCAATATATACATGATAACATTCATACATTCATACATACGTCATGCATAGTTGAATTTAGAAAATCATTTCTCATTTGCATTCATTGATATTTTGTTGACATGTTACCCTGTTTTGCAAAGTTGTGTTATCCGCTCTCCAATAGAGTGTCAACCTTAAGCAGAAAGTATATTCTTTCATTTTCCTCACTGAGTTATCCCTCGTGGAAGAATTTTTCTTTAGCCTTCTTATTCAATTCATTGTCTGGATGGAATGTGGTTTCCTCTTGAGTTTATTTCTCATGAGATGTTATTTTTGATTGACTGTTTCATTCTGATTATTTCTGGTTTGAATGGGTGGTCCCCAGCAGTAATATTATTATGATTTCGGCAATCTTTGAGCACTTGTATGAGAATGTGCATTTATTTTTCACGTGAAGACTTTATCTCCTCAGCGGGAATATATTTCCATTTCCCTAGGAAGCCATATTTCTTTCCCCAGAAAGCCATGTTTCTTTCCCCAGGAAATCACTATTACAATTCTTTCTTATAATAGCAAGTGGTAGGTCTCTTTATTTGAGCAACCTGTACTTCCCCAGTAAATCTGTCATTTCCCAGAGAAGATTCAGATTTTATTACTCCAACAAATGGTAGCCTTGTCATTATGGAACGTAGTTTTGTTGTTGAGATTTGTTACTCCAATGAATGGTGGACTTGTCATTATGGGAGATAGTTCATTGTTAAGATCTTTTTCCGATGAATGGTAACCTTTTCATTATGGAAGGTAGTTCGTCGTTGATTTTCTATTACTCTGAAGAAGTTCATTTGTTCCCAGTTGGGAGCACTGATGCTAATCATTTGCTGATTACCCTAATACTGGTATTTACTAGTATTATCTTACCATTTCTTTCCCCGGTGGGTCGACGTTGCTTTTTTTGCTATCTCCTCAGTGAGTGGATAGTTCACAGTCATCTGTCGATCACGGTTATCCTCTATCTCCTCTTTGGGCTTTACCCCAATAGAGTCAGGTATCTTGTTCACCAGTGATTTATTTTCCTGGTCGGGTTTTCCATTTGATCTTCATTTTTATCTTATTACACACTCAGTGGTGTCTTGTGTCACTCATTGGACTTGTTCATTTGTATTCATAATCATAAGCATTACATGGCATCTTAGGGCCAAAAATAGGGCTTGTTTTATATTTAAGTATCTTCGATCGCGTCGACACGAAGATTTTAACCTTCACATCTCCGGATAGAAGACACTTAAATAAGGGCAGTTGTTGTACCCCAATATTTACCCCTAAGATTTCTCTATCATATCATATCAACTCAATCATAACGAGATCACACTAGGGCTTGGTTCTTTTCCTTATCTTTAGCTTTGTTCCTGAGAGATTACCAAGCACCTTGAATTGTGTGCCTCGTATATATGTATATTATATTTTATTGACTTCTAACCAAAATTCTAAAATATGTTTTGTTTGTTTTGTGTCTTGAAAGACAGGGTTTGCGACCAAGAAGTTCAGGTGGTGAATCTTTGGATAGGTTTATGGTTTGTTCAAGCAAAAATAGTTCCCAAAAGCCTATGGCTCAGAGCGGTGATCTATAGTCTTAGGTCGCGTTATCCTCAAGTTTCATTCAGCATAGTTAAGAAGAGTCTGGTTGCTTAATTCTGAAGATCCTTCGAGATAGGTTCATGTGTTTATTTCCATGCCTTCTTCGACGTCTCAAGTTCATATGTGATTAATAGTATCTTGGGATGTGAAAAGATCAAGATCGCGAGTTGATTTGAAGTTGTCAGACCAAAAGTCAACGTTTGTCAGTTTGAGTTCGAATGATCATAACATCCTTATTTTTCAATATTTTTCAGCGATTCTTCGAGCATATGAATCTCCTTGCATCATCTTCAAATTCTCCTTACAAGTCAAGAGCTAATGATGTGAGGAACAACTTTGCTTCAGAAGGTTTCTCAAAATGATTTCAGTTGTAGCACCCTAAATTTTTCCCCTAATATTTTTTTAGTCGCATTATCTTATCATATTTTGTTATTTGGTCACAATCATTAAAAAAATCTTCATTCATCACTTTTGCATCATTAGTTGTATTTAAGTTGACCAAAAGTCAATTTAAATCGGAGTTTGCATCATTTTATAGTTGAAAAATATCAGATATTTCACTTCATGCATTTTTATCTCTTTACTCGTTTCTTGCATTGCTTCAAGTTATTTATATGTCGATAATATTAATATTTCGGTTTTACAGACAGATTGTTAAAACCGATTTGATATTGTGCAGAAAATTAGCAAGAAAAATATTTCAAATTTTCACCTTTTACTAATCATTTTATGAATCTGCGTTTCGCGTAGATCATGACGGTATGCTCGCTTCATTTTTTCGGTACAGTTTGAGGTCTCGTTTTTAACCGTAAACGTTTGTTCAACCTGATATTTTTATTCTCATTTTATTTCGATTTTGATAATTTGAATATTTTTTCATTAATCTTTGTGACATATAGTTTATTTTAGTGTGTTCATTTCATTTTTCCGATAGATTTTTGTTCATTTTTTTATTATTTTTAATCATTTTGGGTCTCTATTTTTTATTCAGAAAAATTCAAAATAAAAATATTTTAAATTTATATTATTTGTTAATATTTTAATTTTTTTTACGTCTTTTTTATCATTAGAGGTCTTTTTTATCATTAAAAACTTTGTTAAACTAAACTTTGCTCTCATTAATTATAAGGAAAAGTTACGAATTGACAGAAAAAAGGAAAATATGGTGAAGGAATTACAAATCAAATTCAATTTCCTTTTCATTCTTTCTTTATAAAGGGCTTCACTTATTTTTTGTAAAACACAAACAATCAACAACAAAGAACTCATCATACAAATCCATCCTCTCTTCAATTTCACAGCAATACTCCTCTTCATCAAAAACCCTCACTTCAATCCCAGCTTCATAACAACAACCCATTCCGCATACTCCCTTAATATCCCATTCACCCCCCTTCATCTGGCCCTTAAATATCCGCATTACCGCTCCTCCACCGTTCTCGTCTTCATCACCGGTTCACAATATCCACAACCACACCATCAACCATCGTTGATCATTGTGCTCCAACTCCTCCGTCTTTCTCAGCTATTTTCTGCAGATATCATCCATCTCAACTCACCGCAATTTTCCGTCAAGCAGTTCATTCGACACATTGAAGCTACCTTACCGCAACAATCATCATCCTCATTGCTGATTCTGCCTTCCAGATCCGCGCCATGCGATTTGTCTCCAATTTTCCAATGTTTCTGTTTTCAGGTTTTAGGTATGTTTCAATCCCTTTACTACTGTATTGCTAAAATTGTGAGAACTTTGTGTTTGTATTTTGTTTTGATTTAAGTTAGTAAGTGTTTTGTTGTGAAATAGTTGTGATAATCTAGAGAAAATGGCTTGATTGAGTTATAAACTTTATGCTGTTATGATTTTATTCGAGTTACAATTGAGAAAATCTGCATTGAATTTGGATGAAACCATTTGTTAGATTATGACGGATTATGTTTTACTTCTGATGTGCTAGTTTTTTAGGCTGTTAAAAGATGTTTGTTAGAAGCAGTTTGTTAGGCTGTTAAAAGCAGTTTGTTATGATTTGTATTGAAGTTGAACACTAAGTTTAATCGATTCTGATTTGTAAACGATAAATATTGGCGTCACGTTGAATGTTGTTGAAATTATTGTGTGATGAAGTGTTCTTCCTTTTTCTAAATCAATTGAAGTATGGACTGTTATCCATATTAATGGTGCTTGAAGTGTGAATGATGGTATTAGTTGTGTCGATATTAAGTTCTGATGTTAAAATCGTTTTGTGTACAGTTGTGTTAAATGGAAGGAGTTTTGTTTGAATTTTGTTGAACAACTTGTTTCGATTTAAGAGTTAATTTGGGTGGCATTACCGTGCTATTTCCTTTTGTGCTAAACATGTTTGAGATTTATTTTTTTAAAGCTTTGTTTAATGTGCACAGTTGTTGCCTGAATTTGATTTGAAGGTTTTAAGTCTACTTTAAATTTGATTTCTCATGTTGCAATGTGAACTTTTGATTCTTGTTTCCGTTGTGGTTTGAAATAGCGCTTGCTCTTGAGTTTACTTGATGGAATACTCTTGAAATAATGTGTGCAATGCTGATTTTTGTGTTTACATTGAATAATAACATGTTTTCTTGATTCTTAATAGAAAATATTCGTTTTTTCATTTGCATCATACAAGTTTAATTTCGATATCATATCTTTTGATTACTAACACATGTTCTAATTGTTGCAATTCATTTCATTTCATTTTTATCCATCTTATGCTACTAACGCGTTTGTTATTGTGAAGGTTTCCAAAAATTGTTTCAAACATTCATTCTCGCATAGCGCATCTATATTTTTTTCTTTATTCCCTTTTATTGTATTTTATTTTATTATTCCGATTTAATATTTAGTAATATAAATATATAATTGTACATAATACTTTTGATTTTGTATTTTATTCAATTCACTTGTAAATAAATTTAGGTTGTGTAAATATTCTTTCCATTGCATTGTGATTTTGAATTTCAATTCAAGTTAGCTTTTGAAAATCGTATGGACGCATATAATTTTTCCCGATCATTTGGAGTTGATTCCTATATGAATATATTCTAGAAAATAGTTAACTAAGTGCAAAGTTCGGTAATGTACACTTAAGCTTTAAATAAGTTTCCCCGTGCTGTTGGGTTTGTCTGTATATTTCATGTGATGCAGGGATTCTTATTTGATACCGTGAGCTTTATCCATCACCCTTGCACTTTATCTGACTCCTCTCATGATCCATGCTTTCTTCATCCATGATTTATTTTCACGTGCTTTATCTGATGCTTAGAGTATTATCTGACATTTGGGTTTCTTTGATGTCGTCGGCTTGTAATTTATCTTCACCTGAGGTTTGGTATATTCTTAGCTTCTGTGGGATTTTGGATCGAACTCTAGCATGATCGAAGTACATGCTGTAGTCGAAGAAAGGGTCTAGCATGTATTTGTCGAAGATGCTTGTTAAATTAGGTTTTAGTGTTTAAACCCTAATTTGTTAAGTTAGCTTGTTTGTTAAGTTAGCTTGTATAATGGGCCTTGTGGAAAAAGCCCATTAGTTAGTATGTTAGGTTTTATTATAAATAGCATACTAGTCTCTCATCATTGCCAACACAGCAAATCCTAATTTAGGGTGAGAGGGTTATTTGTTATTCTTGTAAACTTGTAATCTTGTTTTCTAAGAGAAAGGAAAGAATAGCAGTTATAACCAATATTTGTGTTCTTCTTCTTCCTTGTTCGTTTTACTTCCCTATACTATACTTTGATATTGGCATTGAATTCACAACAAATTGGTGCGGTGAGCGTGGAGAAGATGCCTTCAACAAAGTATGAGATTGAAAAGTTCACCGGAGTGAATGATTTCGGTCTATGGCGCTTGAAGATGAAAGCCCTACTGGTTCAGCAGGGTTGTTTGGAAGCGTTGAAGGGAGCGACGGCGATGGACGCTGCGTTAACAGAAAGAGAGAAGACGGCCATGATCGAGAAAGCACACAGCGCAATTTTGTTGAGCCTTGGTGATAAGGTTCTTCGACAGGTATCGAAGGAGACGACGGCATCAGGGTTATGGGTGAAACTTGAAAGTTTGTATATGACCAAATCTCTGGTAAATCGACTCTACCTGAAGCAAGCTTTGTATTCATTCAAGATGATTGAAGACAAAGTGCTGGCTGAGCAGTTGGATATGTTCAACAAGCTGATTCTTGATCTTGAAAACATTGATGTAAAGATTGATGATGAAGATCAAGCGCTGTTATTATTGTGCGCTTTGCCCAGATCACATGCTCACTTCAAAGAAACCCTCTTGTATGGAAGAGAGTCCCTGACCTTTGAAGAAGTTCAATCAGCTTTGTACTCTAAGGATTTGAACGAACGTAAGGAGCACAAACCTTCGACGGTTGGTGAAGGTTTGGCTGTTAAAGGAAAATTCGACAAGAAGAAAGGTAAAAATCAGTCGAAGTCTTATAGTGGTGACACATCTGGTATTAGATGCTATCACTGTAAGAAAGTAGGTCACACAAGAAAGGTGTGCCCTGAACGCCTGAAAGATCATGGAGGTAAGGATAATGGCAATGCAGCTATTGTCCAAGATGATTTCGAATCATCTGATGTTCTTGTGGTTTCAAGCAAAAACTCATCGAAGGAATGGATTATGGATTCTGGATGCACTTGGCACATGACTCCAAACAGAGACTTGTTCGAGGAATTATGTGATCAAGATGGTGGATCGGTATTGCTGGGAAACAACAAAGCTTGCAAGATTGCAGGCGTTGGATCTGTGAGATTCAAGCTCCATGATGAGTCAATAAGATTGTTGACTGAAGTCAGGTATGTACCTGATTTGAAGAGAAATTTGATTTCTCTTGGTGAATTCGACAAGAAAGGATATGTTTTTCAAGGAGAGAAAAGTATCCTGAGAGTCATGAAAGGGTCGAAGGAAGTCTTGAGAGGCGTGAAGAAACAAGGCTTGTATACCCTTGAGGCTGAAGTTGTAAGTGGTTCGACAAATGTTGCATCCACGAAACCTTTGTCGAAGACAGAAATTTGGCACATGAGATTGGGCCATGTCAGTGAAAGGGTCTGGTCGAATTAGGGAAACAAAATCTGCTTGGTGGAGATAAAGTCGAAAAGCTGAAGTTTTGTGAACCCTGTGTACTTGGAAAATCCTGTAGAATGAAGTTCAACAAAGGCAAACAAAGAACACATGGATCCCTTGATTACATCCATGCTGATCTTTGGGGGCCTGCAAGGTGTCCATCACATTCAGGAGCAAAGTATTTTCTATCCATAGTAGATGACTATTCCAGAAAGTTATGGGTATTCATCCAGAAGACTAAGGATGAAACTTTTGAGAATTTCAAAAGTTGGAAGACTCTCGTCGAAATTCAAACTGGCAGAAAGGTAAAAAGGTTGAGAACCGACAATGGCCTTGAGTTTTGCAATGAGGCGTTCGACAGTTTTTGTGTTGCCTCTGGTATTGCAAGGCACAGAACTACCGCAAGTACTCCACAACAAAATGGTTTGGCTGAAAGGTTTAATCGAACTATTTTGGAGAGAGTTAGATGCATGTTGACTAGTGCGGGATTAAAGAAGGTGTTTTGGGCTGAGGCTGTTTCGACAGCAGCATATCTGATAAACAGATGTCCTTCGACAGCGTTAGATATGAAGACACCTGAAGAAGTTTGGTCGGGACATCCACCAGATCTCGACAAACTAAGAGTATTTGGCTGTGTAGCCTATGCTCACATTAGGCAAGACAAGGTCGAACCTAGAGCTCTGAAATGCATGTTTATGGGATACCCTGAAGGAGTAAAAGCTTATAGGCTATGGTGCCTAGAGCCAGGTCACAGGAGGTGTATCACCAGTCGAGATGTAGTTTTCAATGAAACGGAAATGGCTTTCAAGAAAACTGATGATGCTGACGAAGAGCTGGAACAGGTAGAGATTCCTGTTGAGGTGGAGCATGTTGATGATGAAATGCGTATCCCAGATGAAGTCGAAGAAGAAACAGAAGACTCTGATGATGTTGAGGAAACTGTTGATGACTACCTATTGTCGAGAGATAGGCAAAGAAGAGTCATAAAACCACCTCAGAGACTTGGATATGCAGATCTTGTAGCTTATGCCTTAATCTCTGCAAGTGAAGTTCTAGACGAAGAACCTAGAGATTATAAGGAAGCTATAAGGAGTCGAATGAAGACTGAATGGCTAAAGGCCATGCATGATGAGATGAAATCTCTTCATGATAATCACACTTGGGAACTAATCAAGAAACCTGTTGGGGCAAGGTTAGTCAGCTGTAAGTGGATTTTCAAAGTTAAGGAAGGAATCGAAGGAGTAATGTCGAAGAGGTACAAGGCAAGATTAGTCGCAAGGGGTTTCACTCAGAAAGAAGGTGTCGACTTCAATGATGTATTTTCCCCTGTTGTGAAGCACAGATCCATTCGAATGTTGCTTGCCATGGTGGCTCAGTTCGACCTTGAACTGGAACAAATGGATGTGAAGACTGCGTTCTTGTATGGTGACTTAGACGAAACAATCCTGATGAGGCAACCTGAAGGGTATGTCGAAAAGGGGAAAGAAGATTATGTGTGCAAACTGAAGAAATCTTTATATGGACTTAAACAATCTCCTCGACAGTGGAATAAGAGATTCGACAAGTTCATGGAACACATAGGTTTCATTAGAAGTCAGTTCGACCATTGTGTTTACTCCAGATTTCGACCTGAAAATTCATTTGTTATTTTGTTGCTTTATGTTGATGATATTCTGATAGCAAGCAACAATGTCGAAGATGTAATGAGGGTGAAGGCTGAACTCAATAAGGAGTTCGACATGAAGGATCTGGGAGCTGCATCTAGGATTCTTGGAATTGACATTCGAAGAGATAGAAAGCAGTCGAAATTATGCTTATCTCAAGAGGCATACCTACGAAAGATTCTTGACAAATTTGGTATGTCGAAGTCAAAGCCTGTTGTGACTCCAACAAACCCTCAACTCAAGCTGAGCATTGATCAATGTCCCAGTACTGATGTCGAAAGAACCTATATGAACAGCATCCCATATGCTAATATAGTTGGTTCTTTGATGTATGCTATGGTCTGTACTAGACCCGACATAGCATATGCAGTAAGTCTTGTAAGCAGGTACATGGCGAATCCTGGAAAGGCTCACTGGCAAGCATTAAAGTGGATTCTAAGGTACATAAATGGGTCTCTGAACAGAGTCTTAATTTATGGTGGAGCCTTGGGTGAAGATAGTAAAGCAGCAGTCGAAGGCTATGTTGACTCTGATTATGCAGGATGTATGGATTCCAGGAAATCTATTTCTGGATATGTTTTCACTATGTTTGGTACAGCAATTAGTTGGAAAGCAACTCTTCAGAAGGTTGTTGCCTTATCAACTACTGAAGCAGAATATATTGCCTTAACTGAAGCTGTGAAAGAAGCATTGTGGCTTGAAGGTTTTGCGAAGGAGCTGAAACTTCAAGGTCAAGGTATCACTGTTAAATGTGATAGTCAAAGTGCAATACACCTGTCGAAGAACTCAGCCTATCATGAGCGAACCAAGCACATAGATGTGAGGCTGCATTTCGTCAGAGGGGTAATCGAGCGTGGAGAAGTCCAAGTGCTGAAGGTCTCGACAGATCACAATG